GAGGGGGTTCAGCCACTATCTTCTCCTTCCTCTGCTGCTTTTCCTGTTTATTTTTTATCTTGAATCATCAGCTGGAACAACCCGTCCTAGCTTTCTAGCACCCTCTGCTTTCTGTATTTTATGTGCTTGGTGAATTCATGGGAGTTTTTAAAAATTATTTCCCCCCCCCCAACTTCTCCCTTAGTCACCCTCTTAATCCAATAAATATTTAGCATTCTGCTCAGTCTGCTTCTTGGCAGGCAGGGACAGAATCGCCTGGAATTTCTGTTTTGAGAAACACAGTGGACCGGCGTTAAAACTAGTTTATCCTTGCTTTGAGTGCACATGTAACTTGACGGAGTAGATCAGCCTCCTGGGTCTCGGGCTGGAAATTCCTTCTCTCCACAGCTGGCTAGTTGGGGATCCAGCACATCTGGAAACTAGCAGTTTGGAGAAAGTTGGGAGTCATGGAGGCCAGCTAAAGGTGTGCATGTGGCAGCTTGCAACCCAGAGGCTGATGCTCAGGGTCTAGCATTAGCCAGAGCAATGGACAGACATCATGTTCCGTTCAGGGACCCTTGCTGCCCCCTGCTAGACAGCATGCTAGCATTTTGCTGCATTTAAGCCCTTCCTCTCCTCATCCGCTTGAGCCAGTTGCAGACACTGGAGCAGTACTGCCCCCTCCTGGCCAAACTCTGGAACTCCAGGAGGCATTTACTGAGATTCATTTTTAAAAGCAGTACCTGTGCTCTGATTGATTATTGGGGGGTTGGGGAGGCAAAGCAGGACCAGACATTAGTAAAAGTGCAAGCCCCAGTTTTGGGCTTCCTGCACCATTTTAGCCAAACCGTGCCTGATTATTGGGGGGGGGGGAGGCAAAGCAGGACCAGACATTAGCAAAAGTGCATGCCCCAGTTCTGGTCTTCCTGCACCATTTTAGCCAAAATGGTCTTTAAATTTTCTAAAAACAGTAACTGTAGGTGGGTCGCTTTTTTGCAGTTCCTGGATGTCCTACCCCTCATTCGCACACACACACACACACACCGCTGATGCTGGGGGAAAATGGCAAAATGTCCTTTTTGGTTCCCAGAAGGCTTCATGGACTGGAGGCTTTGCAAGAAAGTGGGGTACGGCCACCTCAAACCCCCCTTTGTCATCTGTGCAATAAAGCCCCCCCCACCACTGAAGAAGGCAAGATGGATGGAAGGAAATCTGTGTCTTTGGCACTGAGCCTCCTAGGTTTCTTTTTTGTCTGTTAAGTTGGAACCACCCAGCCAAGCTCATGAAATGAGGAATTTTTAAGCCTCTGTGTGTGTGTGTGCAAAATGTGACTTTTGTGCACTCATAAAACAGTGACACACACGTACTGGCAAAGGTGTGCCTTGACCTATATGTGATCCTATAAGCCCATGAGCTCAAGAGCCTTGTTTGGCTGTGTGGATACTGAGCTGGCAGGTTATACAGTTTCGGGACAAAGAACTTTCAGAATTCTACAGCCAGTGTGGGACCAGGGACTGAGGCTCCTGGGAAGAAAAATCCAAACATCTGTAAGGTTTCCTTTCTCTGATTTAAGGATTTCTTCCCCAGTATCTCCTCTGAACACTCCTTTCAGTTATTTTTTTCCTCTTGTGTTCTGTCTTCAGGCTATGTCTCATGCCCAGAAGGTTTACCGTGAATCTCAGCAATCGTAGTTCCTATTTAGCATCCTAATTTGTATTCTCTTCGCCTCTTCAATCGTCTTTTCTTGCTCCAGAGTTTTCTACCTGGGGAAGATTGAATAGCTGTACAACTGGCTTTGGCACACGTCGTACCATGATTTCGCCACCAGGGGGCACATCCCTGCTTTTGGACTTCTTTCTTCTCTCTCTCCAGAAAAAGAAATACATTCTTAGTATTGCAAAGAATCTCAAGTAGGGGCACGTGCATTATTTTTATTATATATTTAGACCCGAGCGGGCTGGGAAAGACTCTCGCCAGAAATTCAGGAGAGATGCTGCTGCCAGTCTTGAGCTGGCAGCAATACTAGGACTGCATGAATCAATACAAGGCTGCTTTCTCTGTTCCTGCCACTAGGAGGCAGGATAAGACCATGCTAAATCGATGCATAACAAAATATCCACCTATCTATACACATATTGTCCCATGTATAGATATTGTATATATCTATGTGTGTAGATATATTTGGCTGTGTTTCCTGGGGTTTGGAGGAATATTAGAAAGAATTACTCATCTGAAGCTAGAGAAAATGACACTGCGAGGAAAGCACTATTAGAAAACATTCTTCCAGAAGTCACATGGGGGGTATATATATATAAAAATGTATATATAAAAAAGAAATTTCCCTCAGCATTCACATAAAAATTAGGGAGGTAGCCATGCCAAGGTTTTTTTAAAAGTTGATATTTTTACCAAAATTATTCCCTCGAAACAGGTTTTTAATCCCAGCTATGTCAAATGTTAAACAGTAATTTATCATTTTCTTTAAAAAAAAAAAACACATTCCTTCTGTGTGTGCGCGTTTTTTAAAAAAAGTGTTTTAGTTGAAGTGGAATCTCAGCCTCTGAACATATTGCAGACGCCAGGAACGTAGATACCGGAAGTATACAATCGCATCCCCTCGGAAAGTTAAACTCTTTGGAAAAAAACACAACAAGCTGACAGATCAAGAAAAGCATTTGTAATTTACACTCATCGTTGGGACAAACAACACTGAATAGTTTACATAATAAAGTCGGCCTGTTTGTATCTCTTAGTCTTGGATAATAAATTTCAGAACATTTTCGGGGAAAACAAGGCCACCCCTGAAAGCCTCTGTTCCCACAGAGGCTTCTGGATGGCTTCAATGGGTTTCTCTCGCTCCTGTTTGCCGTTTAAATTGGTTTTGGACTATCCCATCAAATAAATGTAATCTTGGCTTTAAATAGGTGGTGGGAGGCCGTGTTTAGATCTTGGAAGGAAAAGCCTAGCCAGTATCCAGTAGATATTTGGAGGGGGGGGGGCAAGGAAAGACCTGCCGATACCCCTGACATTTTCACTATAAACAGAAGGATGTTAGCCACTGTTTTGCATGATTGCAAAACTTGGCAAAAAAACCTGGAAAACTGACTCATTAAAAAGCCCACATTGGAAAGCTGGTGACAGTGGGCAGCAGTGTGGGTTGGTAGGACAGCGAGGGAAAAAATATATATTTCTCTAATGTCTCTGATTTTCCACATTCCAGCAGCCCCCTCCCAATGCTCTCTTGCACACAGGTGTGTTTTAAATGCCTTTTATTTGAATACATTTATTTTTAAAGGGTGCGACTGTGTCACCGCCCACTTCACATCTCACACAGGCCTTTTATTTTTTTGAGCTTCTTCACCTAAAGAACCATTTTCAAAGGGTTGCCAACTCTTAAAATCTACTGTTGCAGCCGTGCCTTTTAAACCCAGGCTGACAGCATAGACATAAGAAGGTGTCCTTATGTCTTATTTTCTACACACCAAGAGAAACTGCCCCTGCCATTTTGGACATGTGAAGCCTTGTGTCTAATGACACAAGACCAGGCCAAACCGATATTTTCCCCTTGCTTGGCTGGCAGCCCTAATTATCCACTATGCCTGAATCTAGGCCCGGGCCTCTTTAGTGCTGGTTGCTAGGCAACGGCCATGTTATCCTGCATCCGGATGCAATGGCCCCTCTAGCATTTTACTCTATCTCCCCAAAGGGTTGCTAGGCAACCTCCATTCACTGTCTTCCTGGTTTCTTCCACTACTTTCTCTTTAATTCCATCTCAAGCCTTTTTAACACATTCCTAACTCACTTGCTTCTATGCAAAGGGAGGGGAAAAACCATCTTGCTGGAAAAGTTACATATTTTTTTGGAGAGGAAACAACTTTTCCAAGCTCCAGCCCAGCACAGGGCGGGGCGGCCTGGCATAGGTGTTGGGTCTCCAAGTGCCCTCCGCATATTATTGTTCCCAAAAATGGCCTTTTCATCTGCTTGTGTGATTCAGCCTGGCTTCTCCCCCCAAAAAAACACAACCCACCAGTCTGTCAGTGTCACAGCTGTTCCCATGACAACTGTTCAGCCCAGGCTGTCCTGGACCCACTGGCGCAAGTTCCTTTTCCGCATTCAGACCTACGCCACTGCTCTGCTTTTTTTATTTTTACCCAATACACGAATCCCTTGCTTTTCTTCATTTCTTAACTCCCCCGTCTCCTTAAGCCTGCCTTTCAGCAACGTCCTCCTGGCCATCACAAAATCACCTTGCAATTTCCCACTGATTTCTGCCCAACTTTAGAGGGTTTTTAGAAAAAAAACCCTCCGTGCTCTCCAGCTAAGAGTTGATCTGCGCAGCTTAATCTGGGCTGAGTTTGTTTGAACACAGTTTCTGTGTTCCTGTCCTCCTCCTATTGCCACTGCACCAACCACAAGGGTCCTTTTCGGCTCTGAAACCTCGCCTTAAGGGAACCTGAGCATACACAGAGCGTTTTGTCTCAGAAACGGAAGCAAAATAGCGAGCCTAAGGGCACTTTGTTTCTGAGCATGCACAGAAAGAAAGGGGAACCTGTGATCCTCCGAGTGTTGTTGAATTCCAGTGCCCATTGTTCTGGGCTGATGGGAGTTGTAGTCCAGCAGCAGCAGCCAGCTGTTCTTTTGGCCAGGGAAGTAAGGTTTTTTTTTAAAATATCAGCTGCTGTCTCCTTCTGACAGACAATATCATGGCTACTACCAGCAACTCCAGGGTTTGCATTTTATAGGAAAGAAGAAATAACAAATTTAAGATCTGGAGGAAAATTGTTCCGGACTAGTTATTTCTTCAGCCTTCAGGACGATTTTAAACTAGTGGACAGGCTGCTGTGGGGGTGCAGGGGAAAAAAGAGGTAGGGGATCCCACTCCCCTCTTGCATTCGAGTAGGAAATGCCTACCCAAGGCAATTAAATGGCATGAGCTTAATTGTCGTGTTTCCTCCACAACGTGAGAAGCAGTGGGCAGCTTCTGCTCCCAGGTTTGAAACAGATGTCCTTTGAACAATGTCGTGTTTCCTCCACAACGTGAGAGGCAGTGGGCAGCTTCTGCTCCCAGGTTTGAAACAGAGATGCCCTTTGAACGGGTTCCTCGTGGCCCACAGCAGCTTGGGCTTTTTCTAACACTTGGCTTTCTTCTAGGGGAGGCCCAGGTTCACCTGTGAATATTCTCCCAGTTCTGGGATTTATCTGGAAATCATCCCTGGCTGTGAAATGATCCCCCCGGGAACTCTTGAATGCTGACTTCTGTAAGCCTAGCAGCCCATTCTCTCTCTTGCTCCCACCTCGGACCTAGCAGGCCACCAGCTCCCAACAACGACCCTTCCTTCCCACCTCTGGCTCATCACCAGCTATGGAGATGGTCTCCCACCCGGGTTGCTCCCAGGTGCTTCCTGGGAGCAACCATTACTTGCGCTTGCATCCTGGACGACGTGGGATCTTTGCAGGCTGTGGGTGTTCCCATCGGAGACTAGCTGGGCCCTTCTTAGGGTCTCCTGCTACTCCGGGGTCCTTCACCTCCTTGTCTTTGTGAAAGACACAGACGCGAGTTGAAGAACCATCTCAGGGGAAGATTTGAGAGCCTCCCGGGGTCGTCTTCGGGAGAGATTTGTTCCCTCCCACTTTGATCAGCATGGCTCTTATGGAACCACCCCTCCTCCAGCTGTGACCCCCTTTGGGATGCCCAGCTGGGATCATAGGGTCCCATAAAACTGCTCCAGTGCTGCATTCATGGACGTCCAGTTAATCATTTCTCTCTCTCTCGCCCAAAGTGTGTCTATGCGCGAGCAACGCAGGCCCCTGTTTTGTCCAGCTCATCCTCCGAGAGGCTAATATGTAAGCGGGTCTCGTTGCTGCCCGAAGAGAAGGGCCACGAAATATCCAAGCTGCCAGCCGGGTTCCCCACCAGGCCTTTTTCGGAGTGACCCCAGAGGCTCTTCGCCAGGACCCTCCGCCCCTCCTCTACCGCTTGTTCCTGGCTCAGGTGCCCCCGCGGCTCAGGGCAGCAGCTGAGGTGTCCTCCTCCTCCTTGGGGTGTCCTGGATTCTGACTCTGAGCTTGTGAGGGAGGACAGGGTGACCCTGGTGAGCGAAGAGGTGCCAGGGTTTGATAAGGCACCAGTGCCAGGTGCGGCTGGCTCTGCCTCCAGGCAGGGTGAGGTGGTTTTGCTTGACCTCCTCCGCAGGGTGGGAGGAGGAGGATTCAGCTTGGGGATGAACGGCTGTGACCTGTCAAGGGGAGAGGGGAATCGGTATTTAGCATCAGGACGACCCACGGGGCCACTCCTTACAGCAGTCCCTGTGTGTACAGTGACTCGAGAGGAAGCAGGGAGGGAAAGGTATTAGAAACAGAGATGTGATCACTTCCCATGGTGGTAAAATAAAGCAGTAGGACCCCCTTATATGAAGGAACAGTATCAGTTGATTCACTTATCCACATTCTGAAAATATTAAAAGAAAAAAAATCCCAGAATATATATTTAAAATGAAGTCACCCGAACTGACCACTAGAGGGGGCAAGAGACCACGGTATGTATCACCTCTTCTAAAGAAATATAGTTCCATGTCATTATCTGATTTGGCCACAAGAGGGAACCAGAGACCATACTATGTACAACAGTACAGTATAGCATTTTTATAGTATTTCCTATAATTTGTGTTTTTCATCATCCATTGGGGGGGGGAGCTTGGAACTGATCTCTCACTGATAACTCAGCCTTACTGTAATGTTATAGAAATGGAATGTTAGAAGGGGAGCTGGGGGGAGAGGTCATCTAGTCCCCCAAAATCAATTCAAGAAACCTACAGCCAAGGCATTCTTGAAATTCCTAGATCTCTGACCCTAATGCTCCCAATTAATGCTGACTGTGCAGTAATGAAGGGGGGGGGAGGCCCAGGTGAAGCCAAGGTACGGAGATGGAGGGCCATTCAGCCACTTAGCTCAGTACCTAAGCCACACACTGTGGCTGCTGTTACCTTAGACCCACCAGGATTGTGACTCTTGCTTAACTAGAGCATAAAATAATAACTTTTAAAAAAAACGACATGTCCCAGAATCTCACCTCTCCTCTTTCACTGGAGTGTCCCGGTCACCGCCCTTCTGACAGGCGGTCCCGTTAGGCACAGCGCCGTCCACCGCCTCCGAGCCCTCCACCCTGCGGTAGCCGCCCGAGCCCTCCAGCACCGCCAAGCCCTCCTCTGCCGCCTCGGTGCCGTTGGGCAGCCCGCTGCCCTTCTCCAAGTTCGCCAGGGTCAGATAGGATCCAGACGTGCCCCGTGTGGCCACAGGGCTGCCCAGGGCGCTGGCTGGGGTGGAGGTGGAAGGCAGGTTGATTTCGAGGCTGTAGTGGTTCTTCAAGTTGAGAGAGAGAGACTGGGCGAGGGACAGGTTCTGGAGCGAACGGTCCACTAGGAACAAAAAAATTTGTATTTCACTAAAATGAAAAATGGTGTGTGCACGTACGTGTGTATACAGTGTGTGCACCCACCTACCCACCCACTCCTACCTGTATCTCTGTAATAAAACAGAAGATCTAATTCAGCAAGCGGTCCCCCCTTCCCCAGGGGGCTCACCTGGATGCCGCAGCTGGACCTTGATCTCCAGTTCCTTGAGCTGCCGGACCAGCAAAGAGACATGTTGGAGGAGGTCACGGTTGGTCAAGAGCAGCTGCCGGACCCGGGCCTGGGCTTCGATCCGGGCCGTGGTCTCGGCCGACAGCTGATCCTTCAGCAGCTGCATCTGCCAGGGAAGACAGGGCAGGAAGGGAACCATAAAAAACATGAAGAGCGCTGTCTGGTTGGGGGAAGGGGGGGAGAGAGAGATTTTATCTCACCTGTAACCTGGTTCCAACCATTGGAAAGCCCGCCAGTACAAGATCAAGAAGCTAAGCTGTTCTTTGTCTTTCTTTATCTCCCCAAATCTGAGATACGCTGCCTCTGAGCATGGAGGCTCGAATTGTGATGAGCAGACCTGCTTTATACATCTCGGCATTTTTCCCTACTGTCTACTTTTGCTTAGTATAAGCCACGGATTTTTATTCAGGACAGAGGTGGAAAACATAGGGTCCTCTGAAGCGGCTGGGCTCCAGCCGCCAAGACGGCTAGGAGTAAGGGATGATGGGGACTGTAGTCCTGCAACAAGTGGAACAGATTGGGGTGGGGGGCGTGACTCCCCCGGATGATTCAGAGGAATGGTCGCCGTAGTCCCTTTGTGGCTTTGCAACCCCTTTGCTTGCCCTTGTGTGTGTGTGTGTGTGTGTAGGGGGGTGGATGTTACCTGGGCTACGGCCACCTGCGTCTGCTGCTGCTGCTGGAGGAGCTGATGCTGGAGCAGCTGGAGGCAGTGCTGAGAGGCCAGCGGGGCGACCGAGGCCGAGGAGCAGGGGCTGGCAGGGCTACCCAGGGGCTGTGCCGTCGCGGGGCGGAGGGCGCCGTTCTCGTTGTCCTACGAACCAAAAGAAAAAAGCAGCCACAGAGGAACAGGTGGTGGAGTTTCCCTTACCCTCTACTCCCGGCCACATCGCACAGATCTAGACAACTGGAGAGATGAACCCATGAAGTCATGCCGATAAAATCATGAACTCCTCCTTCTCTCCAGGCTCCTCGGCGGGAGGAAGAGATTGCAGGGGGGGGCTGCTAGAAGGTACGAAGGATGGGGCTGCCTACCGGGGCCAGCTCTTCTTACCTGGCCGCTCCTGTCCTTTAGTTTCAGAGCAGACGTTGGGGGCCCCAAGTCGGCCAAGGCCAAAGGCAGGTCAGGGGCCCCTCCGCCGGTCCCGCATGTGCACGTCCCCTCGATGGAAGCGACGGGGGCGCTTTCCCCATCAGCCATGGTGGGCCCGGCTATCGGGAAACCTTTCAGGTGCAGGAAGACAGGAAATGAAGCCACCCAGGGGCAGAAGCGTAGAGAAAAATTACATTTCAAGAATGACACCATAGCTGGGGATTAAGTGACTCCATGGACACCACTCCCCTTTATTTTTTAAGGGCCTTTAAAAATAGATCTTAGACGGCACTGTGCCCTTCTCTTAGTAACCCTAGTGGATTTTTTCCTCCCCGTACTGAAGGGGTAACAAGAACATGAGTTACAACCTACTACGGTGGCTGCATTATCATAAGCCGTGAGAGTGAGCTGCATTTAAAATTCCATTAGGTGTACTAGGAATAAATTGCTTTTCGCAGGGACGTTCAAACCTCCACCCCCCCAGCCCCTCACCTTCCAGCGGGGGGTCCTCGGCCGAGTTATTGCTGGCCCCGTCGGCTTGCCCGTCCGCGTTCTGGAGGGCGTGCTGGAGACTCAGCTTGTGGCACACCTCAAACGCCTGGCCCACCGTCCGCACGACGCGCATGGCCTGAGTCTGTGGGGGGGGGGAACTGCAGCTTTGGCATGAGCTGCCACTACGTACCACCCTCCAAAAGCCTCTTGTGAATTCCAAATCTGAGTAGGGTTGAGGGGGCCAGGCTGGAGATGTCCCATGCAGGGAAAACACTCCTGCCGGGCGGATCGAGGTCCTGATCCGGTTGAGAGGGCCTTCCTCTCTTCTTAAGGGCCAGAACAGGAGGGAGGGAAGAGAAGGGAGAGGAGAAGGGGGGACCGGCGTAGCTCAACCTCTCTTTCTCACCTTCTTTTTGGACTTAAAGACGTTGCACCGGAAGGAATTGTTGGTGCCGTCCCTGGCGATGTAGCTGAAAATCTTCAAGTCTTGGGAGTCGTGCGAAACGTAGAAGATCCTAAGAGGCAGGGTGGGAGAGAGAAAGAGATGCATGCAAAGGTGTAAAAAGCACGGTCCCTTCGCAGCTGTACACGCTTGCAAACCCACCCCATGCCTTGGTCTCCCCGGGAGGCGCCGCGCCGCTCCGAGGAAGACGATGCCATTACACCAGCTTAGGGGACCAAATCACCTGGTCCACATTAGGAGCTTTTGTGGGATTACAACCACCGCCTGCTGCGCGCTGCACCCAGGGAGGGAAGGGAGCAGTGTTTACATCGCATTTTGGCACACGGATGCTTTCCTCTCCTCGCCCTCCCCCCTCGTGAAGGCAGGCGAAGGATCGAGCCCACCCATCGTCCCCAAATAAACGACAGGTCCCTCTCTGGTGTGTGGCATCCATCTTGCCAACTTCCTGGGTGGCTCTTTGAAAAGCCCCCCCCCCTTTCTGGGCAGGAAAGCCCAAATCAGCAGAGTCTCAATTCAGATTTAAGATCCACCCTCCTAACTTTTGGGGTGGGGGTGTGTGTGTCAGTGGGGCAACGAAGGAAAGAGACAAACCATTTGCAGTGGCTCACCTGTATACGGGGTCATGCATGACGACCATTTTCCCTTCATCCCAGGTCCACTCCTTCCTCTGAGGATATATATATATATTTAAATTGGGTTTTTTTTGTCAGGCTAGGTTGCACAGTTCCATTCTGCGGCAATAACTGCATAGCATGCCAAGAACGGGAAAAGGGGATGGACGTTCTGATACCCACGGGATGAGGAGGCATTCATTCCTCTCTCCACCCAGCGGCCCTGATCCATTTGGCCGGCAACTAAACCTGCAGGACACTGGTGTACACCCAACAATCTCAATCGGTCGGGGGCTCAATCGGACGGGGGTCACTGAGGGGGAAAACCTACCTTCGGCTTCTTGCGCAGGATCACTTTCACCCCATCCACGGAGACCACGATGTTGACCTTTTTCTTCTTGATGTTCTTGGCCTTGAATTCATACTGCTGGGGGAAAGGAAGGGAGACGGAGGGAGGGAGTCAGGCCGCCAGCTGCTAACCTTGCACGCGGGTGGACCCAAAATGCTGGCCTGCGGGAGATCCTCTAAGCTCCAGCCCCAAAAATTAGAAATCGTGGCTCCAGTTTTTCATTTCATTCAAATCCTATTTACACACCTAACCCTCTCAACATTCCCTCCCTGTCGACGTGTCTTCGTCCAGCACCTTTCTCCCCTCTGCTCTTTTCCCCACCGAACTGGGGCTGACTCTCCTTTTCATCTCTGCTCGGAAAGGAAGCCCCGACAGCCTCAATGGGGAGAGCGAGCCGGCGTCCACTCACGCCTTCTGCGTGCTCGGAGAGGGAACAGGACTGCGCTATGCGGTCCTGGCAGCAGCAGCTGGATGCTCAGCCAGCCAGCCTTTCTTCGCCCAAATGCCTTGTGAGAGAGACCCATTCTGCCATTCTAAATATAGAAGAGCACACTGGGGTATGTGTGTGTGTGTGTGTAAGACAGAGAGAAACGGTGTCAGAAAGGACCACTACCCACTTCAAACCCCAGACTCAAGTTAGAACTTCAGCCTGCCAAAGAGCAGCTTATGGGGGGGGGAGACCACCCCACCCAGCTTTCTCAGGGTGGCAGGAAGGCTGAGCTTTCTGGGGGGAAATGGAAAAAGCTGGCTCCTGAGGCCACGATCCCTTGCCAAGGTGCGGGAAGAACAGGAAGCCACCCTGGCATGCTGGCCCTGGCGTGGATGCCAGCTGGCAGCCAGCGCCTTTCACACCCACCCCCCGTTCTCAAACAGGGGGGCTGTGTGTTGCTTCCAGTCTGGAAGCAAAGGGGGGATAATGGCTTTGTGTGTGTGTGTGTATTTGTGTGTTGTGTGCCCTGGAAGCAAATCAGCAGGGGAGGGAGATGGCCAGCAAGACTGAAGGACCGCATGTGGTTGAGATGTGGCATTGAACAGAGATGGACTAAGTTTTGCTTTTTTTATGTGGCATTGAACAGAGATGGACTAAGTTTACTGTGTGTTTTGCTTTAAAAAAAAAACTACAACTCCCACAATCCTCTGGCCACCACACTGCCACTGCCTGGCTCCTGTATTCAACTACTGAGAGAAGCTTTCCTTGCTTTACCTTTTCCGTGCGAGCGTTTCCAAAACTCCAGGAGCTGCTATTGAGGGCATTCATTTCCTTACTTACGTTGGACAGGAGAACACGTTGTTCCACCTGTTTGATTTGACACCCTGGAGGGCCAACGCAAATACTTGCACCTTTTTCTTGAGTGCAAACGTAGTTTAGTTTGCTGTGGTTGAAGTGCGAAACACAGGCATCGGCTTGCAAACCCTCGCTATGCAAAACTCCCAGGGCATCGAGGGGGAGCTGCTCGCTTGGAGGCTTAAGACAGCCAAACAGGTTAAAGCATTTTTCAAGCGATGATCCCACACTGGCAGATATTATCTGAGATCTGAAAGACAGTGTGATGGGGGTGGGGGTGGCAGTGGCAGTGAAAGGAAAATGAAAGTCACTTCTGGTGGATCGGGCCCAAGATGATGTCTGTCTACGAACAAAGGCAAAAACGAAGGTGAAGAAGCCAACCAGTTTAAAAAAGAAGCCCGTAGATACAGCCGGACTGGAAGAAAGGGGTAAGAGAGTTATAAGCTTAATAAACAGCAATACGCTTAATTTGGGGTTTGGAAGAGGGCTGTATAAACACGTAGCCCCCTTTTTTTAGCTGAATGAGTGAGCGGTATTTGGACGTTTTGCCAAAGAGAAGAACCGAAGGCAAAACCTAGCGATGGGCAGTCCCAGCCGCTGGACCGAGGGGGGCGCAAGCTGTGAAATGGGAGGCCCGCCAGGCAAGGGTGCAAAGCGGCTGTCCCTCTGCACGGCACAGAGGAAGGGGGTGTGGGATGGCGGTCTGAAGGGTGGCTGGCCATTCTGCCGTCCTGTGCTAAGAGGAGGGAGAGAAGGAAGCCGTTCCCAGAAATGAGACACCCGAGGCAGAAAGGAAAGCAGAGGAAAAGGTTACAAGCTCCCCAAGAACAGTCTGTTTGGGTTTTTTTAAAGGATACTTCCCTCTGATGCCCAGCACACCTTCTATCCCAAAATTTGCAGGGTCGGTCAGTGCATGGTAGATGGAGCGAACCCGTCTTGGGCTGCAGCAGAGAGCAGAATATGGACTTAAGGCCCTACGCACATGGCCAGAGAGGAGATTGCGACTAAAGCTTAGGAAGAACATCCTGCCAGTAGGAGCCGTCGAGAGGTGGAAGGACCAGCCTCACAAAGTGGAGGGATATGTTTCGTTGGGAGGTTTTCAAAAGAGGAGATTGCGACTAAAGCTTAGGAAGAACGTCGAGAGGTGGAAGAATCAGCCTCACAAAGCGGAGGGATATGTTTCGTTGGGAGGTTTTCAAAAGTCCCCTTAAGTCCATGAAGTCTTTAATGAAAACTCAGTAGAGTTGCTTTTTTGTACCTAACCCCTCCCAAAATCTCCTAGGCGGAGATATTTTAGGAGCCCTACTCCAGTCTCTGCTTTTCACTCTCTCCTTGAAACCCACAGGGACCATTTCTGGGATGGCATTTGAAGTTGCTTCTCTGGGCCAACCCTGGGCTGACATTCAGCCGACGGAGCAATGGTGATGGCGGCAGTCCCCCCCCCGCCTTGAGGGGACCCCCGCCCACCCCAGATTGCTGGGAATCTGGTTTCGGCAGTTCTGAGCCCGGCATTAAAAGGTCACCATTGCTTAGAGATTACATGTTTCCCCCCCCCCCGCTGATCCGTCAGCCCATCTGCCATCAATCATCCTCCAAACGTGATCTCATAACCGTGGCCTTTTCTTCCTAACCAGGGAAAGAACGCGGCGTCATGTGAAACAGTGGGTGGGAAGGTGGCCGGGACAAAGGCTGCCTGTCAAAGGGACCCCACACGGTGTCTCTGCCACCCCCCTGTCGCTTCTATTAAAAAAAAGCAAAGGATTCCACTTTTGATTTTTACCCTTATGGCTGGAAAGATAAAGCTGGAAGCCCCAGGGGCTAAATGGCAGCTGGGGGTTGGTGGTGTTGGTGGAGGAGGATGGGTTTCCAAAGATGACAGCCCTGTGCTCTCTCCAATCAATGGTAGATTTATATATAACACATGCAAATCTCCACTATTTGAATAATTTAAGTAACTGAAGACAAGTTATCTGACAAAGAAATACCCATGACACTAATCAAGCCCTCCGTTTATCCCCAGCTTGCTCTCTGAACTACAGAACTGAACGCCGCGACACCCACCCCTTCCAAATATCATCCGTTCTCTTCTCAATCTGTCTTCTCTACAGCCCTACAAGGCGGGTCACCGATATCCTCAGCGTTGCTCGGAAGCCTTGGCGTGCTGCGTTATAACAAGCCTAGAGATGATCGACATGCAGCGTGCATGGCTGCATCGCTCATGATGAAACTTTACAGCAGGGGCCCCTTTGTTTATTTATTTTGAAAAGGTCACCGTGCGCTTGGCGGATCGGGCTGCTTGTGAGCACTGCCAACCTTCCGGGCGACATTCCGCCCCTCTCCTCCTGCGTGCCGAGGGAAGCCGGCCTCACCTCCTGTCGGGCGGCGCTGCTGATGCATGAGCTAAGAACGCTCCAGGTAGACTGGCGCACCCAGGGAACGAGGTGCTAAAAATACCCTTGTTTCCGGGTGACCAGAAAGCCGGGCATTCCACTATTAATCAAATCCCAAAAACTGCAGCCACCCAGGAAGGGGAGGGATGCCTGCGTGCTGCATGTTTACCGTGAAATGGATTTCACTCCGTGACAAGCAAGATACGGCGGAATGGAATTTCAGATTCCGCCACCTGACGTGGCTGATTACGTGGACGGTTGGTGCAGCTGCCCCAGGCCCGCATCCAAGCTTTGGAACTGGTCCAGTTCCAAATCCCTGTGTGCCCCCCCCCTCGGACAAGCATCCTTGTCACTTAACCCAGAGCAGCCCCTTGTACTTCTGTAATGTGATGTGATGTAAAACCGCATCGGACAGCAT